CCAGGGGCCCCCAGGAGGAGGGCGGGCGCGCTGGGGGCTGCGGGGCCAGATTAGAACCGCCTTCCTGCGCGCTCTCCGCTCTCCCCGCCTCGCTCTTACACACACGCCCCCAAACTCCACCCCCAGGCGCCTCTGGGCCACTGCGAGGCTGGGCTGCTCCAGGAAGTTCCCATGAAAGCACCTGAAATAAGTTACCTTTCCCAGGTGAGTGCAGGCGAGCGACCGCCTCCTGAGCGCGGCCAAGAACGAGGGCTCCGCTGAGAGGAGGGACCTTGAGCCGGTCTCCGACCGACCGACCGACCCGGGTGGCCGGGCCTCCTTCCTGATGGCTCCCCCCGGCGGCCCCCACGGCGACTGCTCCCACGTCATCGATCACAGCCACATCCCCGAATTCGAGGTGGCCCTCTGGATCAAAATCACCCTCATCCTGGTGAACCTGTTCATCTTCGCGCTGGGCATCCTGGGCAACAGCGTCACCATCCGCGCCACCCAGGTGCTGCAGAGGAAGGGCTACCTGCAGAAAGAGGTGACGGACCACATGGTGAGCCTGGCCTGCTCCGACATCCTGGTCTTCCTCATCGGCATGCCCATGGAGTTCTACAGCATCATCTGGAACCCGCTGACCACGCCGGGCTACGCGCTGTCCTGCAAGCTGCACAACTTCCTCTTCGAGACCTGCAGCTACGCCACGCTGCTGCACGTGCTCACGCTCAGCTTCGAGCGCTACGTGGCCATCTGCCACCCCTTCCGCTACAAGGCCGTGTCCGGGCCCTGCCAGGTGAAGCTGCTCATCGGCTTCGTCTGGGTCACCTCCACCCTGGTGGCCCTGCCGCTGCTCTTTGCCATGGGCGTGGAGTACCCGCTGCTGCACGTGCACAGCCACCGGGGCCTCTCTTGCAACCGCACGCTCACGCGCCACCACGAGCGGCCTGAGACCTCCAACATGTCCATCTGCACCAACCTCTCCAGCCGCTGGACCGTGTTCCAGTCCAGCATCTTCGGCGCCTTCGTGGTCTACCTCGTGGTCCTGGTCGCCGTGGCCTTCATGTGCTGGAACATGATGCAGGTGCTGAGGCGGAGCCGGCAGGGCACGCTGGCCGCCGAGGGGCAGCAGGCGCGGCTGCGCAAGTCGGAGAGCGAGGAGAGCAGAGCGGCCAGGAGGCAGACCATCCTCTTCCTGAGTGAGTCCCCGTGGAGGGCAGCCTGGGAGCAGCCCCGCCCCCTCCCTCCCTGTGTTCTTCTTAACTGCAAATCTTGTCTTAAAAGTGCCAACTTAAGTTCTTGAGGCCCAAGGGGCATTTCTTTGAGCCTCTGGATATTTCTCCTCTGTGTTTTGGGAATTAAGATTCGGGTGCAAAGAGCACTAGATCAGGAGTCAGAGGACGGGGTAGATTCCAGAACAGCACCTCCGGGACCTCCAGCCAGTTGCGCTGTTATCTTGGGTAAAATGGGGATGATAATACTGACAAATGTGAGCGTGGAATGAGGTGATGCAGGAGCGGTGCAAGGCCTCTGAGAGGGACCGAGTTTGCAGAGACACAAGAGAGCATTCTGATCTTGCCCCTCTTTTCTCTGGAGAACCTTCCTCAAGTAGTTAGATTTGTTCCCATTTTTCTTCTCCTGTGGAGAAGCAAGGCTGTCAGGCAAACACACTCTGCAGGCTGCTGTGTTACTCCCAGGGGTGATCTCCTATGGTTCCGTGGCTCTCAGCCCAGCACTCCCCAGGGTGGGCTTGCGGTTCCGCTGTGGTGGGTCTGTTCTGCACAGAGAGAGAAGCAAGGCAGGCCACCCGCCTGTCTGTCTGATCCAGAAAATCTGGCTGCACAGAGTCCCGGGACTTGATTGATCAGCCCAAACACCTGATTTCCATAGAGAGAAACTCTTTGTTTTCCAAACTTCTGTTGTGATGCAGATATTTAAAGTCGGGCCCTTCTGTCAGGAAGGAAGGACCCACCATCTGCAGACCCCCACGCCTTCCAAAGAGGGGCCTGGGGCTGTCCTCTGGGAGCCGGGCTTTCATGGAGACACATAAAGTTTGTTCTAGCAAAGGTTTTAAAAAACTTTTTTATTTTTTAGCAGAAACAAGAAAACATGTGGGTGTGTGAGTGAGTCAAGGGGGAGTTGATGCAGCACAGGCTTCTCCTCTCTCCTCTCCCCTCTCCCCTGTTCAGTGTGGCGCCAGGAGAAGGACTAAATCACGGGCTGTTTGTTTGGTGAGGGAAACTTGGGCAACAGGTTCCAGGACCAGGACTTAGACATGAAAGAAAATGTGAAGGCAGTTGAGGAGAATGGAAGGCACTTGGTCTTGTCCCCGCGCTGCCTCTGGCTTCTGGTGTGTCCCCACAGCTGACTTGACTTGGTGCCTGTGGGAATGAACGGAGGGAGTTTGCAGTTTGGGGATGCCTACTCTGCATCAGGGGCTGTGCTGTGTGACTGATACTTTTCCATTTCATAGAATTTGAGGCTTAGAGAAGAAAAGACCTAATTCAAATGCATGTAAATGCAGCTCCAAATTTTCAACTTGCTTCTCAGGGCAGGGAAATGACTGGCGACAGGAAAATGAAATAAAGCAGGACTTTGACAAGGAAGGTGCTACCTAGATGGGGCTGGTGGTGTTGCTGCCTCCTAGGACCAGCCTTTCTGGAAGTAAGTGGGTAACTTTGGCGACTTGGAAGGGCACCCAACCCAACTCAGTCTCTTTCACCCACTCACTGCTGCCCCAAATATTCTAGGATGGAATGAGCATTACATTTGCCTAAAGCTTGAACATCTGTTGAAAGGCTAGTTCTCCCTTCCCTCAAACACCCTTAGGAACATCTTAAACTTTTCTCAGTAATTTATACTTGAGTGTGAATGAATTTCCCCTTTCTTCCTTCCTTCCTTCTTTCCTTCCTTCCTTCCTTCCTTCCTCCCTTCCTTTATTTACTAGAGGCCCGGTGCACAAAATTCGTGCAGGGGTGGGGAGGGGTCCCTCAGCCCAACCTGCACCCTCTCTAATTCGGGAGCCCTATGTCCTACTGACGGCTTAGGCCCACTCCCCGTGGTTCTCTGCTCTCTGCGGGGCCTGCCTGCTCCACACCATGGTGATGGGCAAGCAGGCCCTGCTGGGTGCTGTCTGCATGCCACGCTTGCCTGCTGGGCTCGCATTGCCGGGGCGACGCTGCCAGCATCCCACTCCAGCTGCTATGGGCGCCACAATCTTTGTTGTGGGGTGACAGTTAATTTGCATATTACTCTTTTATTAGATAGGATTTAATTAATTAATTAATTTATTTATTTAAGTACTATTCTAATTAAGAATATTAAGGCTGCATTTGACCAAGGAAAAATAATTGATTTATCTTTATTTTCTATTGGACCAATCTCTGTGATTTTTTAAATATTTCTCTGGATGGACATCTCTTCTCTTCCCAGGGAGTATTGTTTCAAGTGAAAGTTAGTCTCCATTTTGTAGCATAAAATCAGAATGCTTTTTATTTAAAGATGAATAGGATCTTGAAGATATTTCATGCAAATAGTAATCTCCTGGAAAGAATTTGTTCTTGCTGCTGCTCTCATTCCTTCCTTCTGGTTCTCTCCCTCTTTCTTATAACAACTATGTAGTCATCACCCACTGTGTTCTCCACATAAAGATGGTTGAGTGGCAATCAGGTGCTCAATGTGTGATAATGTCAGAGGAAAATTTACCATTTGTATTTAGCCCATTTCTTCTGCAGTAGGTTTTCAAAGCAGTTCTTGCAAATGTGCCCCTCTCCCAAGGAATTTAAAGAGCTTTTAAAAATAGGAACCTCGCTAATTAACTCAAGTTAGGAAATAAATTAATGGAGTGAAGAGGAATAAATCATGGCTTGCATACATCAGATTAATACAATGCCATTTACTCTATGGGTTTCATAAAACATAAGCTTTGGGGCATTTATAACCAGAACAAATGAACATATAAATTGTTTACAAACTGCTGAATTTAATATAGTGAGTTAGCTGTCTTTTTAGCATTTCAGTTAACAGATGTATCAAATTAAAACAAATATTTGCTTATTTCAAACATTTTGCATTTAATGTGAAATGTAAATGATGACATAGCACAAGATGTCTTTGGCGCTCTTGAAGCAATAAAAAAACAATTAAGGATTTCCCCCCTTGTTGTTAAAAATGCTAACTTCTGCATAACAGAAGCGGAATTCATAAATCTACCCAAGATGAGGAAGTCTGTAGAAAATATTAATTTTCCATTCTACGTCTTTTGCAATTGCGTCTCAGTCTAGTGGAGGTGCTGGGCGGGGGAATAATGAAACAAATTGGGAACTCTGGAGAAAAAGAGATGCTGGAATGCCTCCTAGCTTTCAATTGATTTGCAAGGGAAAACAAAAATAATGTAAAAGTGTACATTCCTGGAAACGTGTGTCTTGTCAGCTTAATGAGAAACTAGCGCTAGACTCGCAAGGTTATGGCTAATGTGGCCAAGGTAATACTCGTCTGATGCCAGGACAGATGTTACCTGCTGGTCTGGATTCCTGCCTGCTCTGGAGGAGAGGGACTGCTGCATTTGGCTCTTTATCCCATAGCTGGTGAGGATATGCAAAACGAGCCTTCTTTTCAACAGGCTTTTCCAGACCTTCCATCTCATGTTTCTCATCTCTCCCTTGGCACTGTTCTCAATGCATGTGGCATCTGGATCCCTTGTTTGTGTCTGTTGCACATGTGGCTTGCTGTTAGATGTCACCCACTCAAAGTGAAACGACAGAGTGGTTTAAATGAAGTATACTGTAGTTTTTTGGTGGGATTGTAAATTGGTATAGCCACTATGGAAAGTAGTATGGAGGTTTCTCAAAAAATTAAAAACAGAACTACCATACAACACAGCAATTTCACTTCTGGGCATTTATCTGAAGAAAATGAAAACACTAATTTGAAAAGATATGTGCACCTCTATTTTATTGTAGCATTATTTACAACTAGAGGCCCGATGCACAAAAATTTGTACAAGAGTAGGCCTTCCTTCCCCAGGCTGCTGGCACCAGCTTCCCTCCAGCACCTGGGACCCGGGCTCCCCTCCTCCGGCCACCGGCAGGCACCAGGGACCCAGGCTGGCTTCCCTTGGGCCACTCGCAGACACCTGGGACCCGGGCTGGCTTCCCTCCGGCCTCGGCTTGGTCAGGAAGGACATCCGGAATGACGTCCAGAAGATGTCTGGTCTAATGAATGTATTGCCCTTTTAGCTAAGATAGCTAAGATATGGAAACAACCTAGATGTCCATTGATAGATGAATGGATAAAGAAGATGTGGTACATGCATACAATGCAATATTACTCAGCAGTAAAAAAAAAAAAAAATGAAATCTTGCCATTTGCAACAACACAGATGGACCTAGAGGGTATTATGCTAAGTGAAATAGCACAGAGAAAGACAAATGCCATATGATTTCACTTATATGTGGAACCTAAAAAACAACAACAACAAACCAAAACAAAAAAACAGACTCATAGAAATAGAGAACAAATTGATAGTTGCCAAAGGAGAGGAGGGTTCTGGGGTGGGTTAAAAAGGTGAAGGGGAATAAGAAGTACAAACCTTGAGTTACTAAAAACAAAATACAAGTGTCTCTGAAGCTGGACAAGGTAAGGACATAGATTCCCCTCTAGGACCTTCAGAAAGGAATGCAACCCTGCCAACACATTGAAATTAGTTCAATAAAACTAATTCTGGCCTCCAGAACATAATACATTTATGTTGTTTTAAACCACTAAATTTGTGGTAACTTATTATAACAGCAGTAGAGAACTAACAAAACCAGTCCCTTTAAAAGTTAAAATATAAAAGAATATTGAGAATTTTCAGAAGTAAATATTAAGAACAAATACTGATGAGCAATAATAATAATAATAGCCACAATTTATTGAACATATACTATGTGTAAGTCAGTTATGCTTACATCAACTCATTAATGAGGATACCAAAATTATTCAATTTAATAGAAGATGGAACATTTTAAAGAACTTAAGTATATGTCCATGGGACAGAGAGTAGGTAGTGAAACAAAAATATTGGTGAGAAAGATATAGGAACTATCAGAAGAAAAACCAAAAAACATGATAAATCATTGAGGTTTTTTTTTTTTTAAATCAATAAAAATAACCTTTAGTTATTGCTGTAACAATAAAGTTGGGCTACTTGAACAGTCAGAATTCCCTGGTTCAAAGCTGGTAAAAATATTTAACATGAACTGTGTTTTTTTTTAAATCAACTTATGTATGTGTGACACATTAAATTACCTTGGAGTATAAATACAAAGTAAAAGAAAAAGTTAAATTGATCAAGAATGCTTAATTAATTTTATTAAAATTTCTAGTAAAGTGATAAAAGTAAAAGAAGCATACTGTAGTTTAATTAGTCACTTGCAAGAGCATATGTAATTGGGACTAGGTTATAGCTACCTCCTAGACATCTGTAGGGCAGTGATTGACTTTCAACTCTAGTTATGAAGAAAAGTTTTACAGATAATCATGAAATTACAAAATTAAAGAAACATAAGAGAAGATTGAGGACTCTAATAATTCCACTTGTTTGCATTCTGATTTGCTCTCCTGAGTTGGAGGGAAAGGGAAGGAATTGCATGTAGTAGCAGGATTTGCATATCAACTTGGGTTGCTCATGGGAGAAAACCTTGAATATGGACATCATCCATCATGTGTATTTGATCTTCACTCTTACACGCTCCCAACTGAGCTATATCAGCTGCTCATCATGTGTGTTTCAATGGAAAAAAAAGATTGAGAGTTGCTGCTGTCATGGATTACTCTAAAAGGAACGTTGATGTATATTTATATATTTGTGGGATGGGCCAGGGAGATCAGAATCACATCCTCTTGGTTTTTAGTCCCCAGATTTAGAGGCAAGTCACGTGTGTTTGCACTCACACATGCACATGAACCCTGGAGAGAGAGAGAGAGAGAGAGAGAGAGAGAGAGAGAGAGAATGAGGGAGGGCTGGAAGGCAGAGAGAGAACTGAGATGTTGACAGTGGCTCCTCTTTATCTGAGGACAATCAGTATCTGAAAAATACTCTTAACATTTGTTCCTTAAGATGGAGTCCAAAATTTTATGTGAAGAGAGGTTTGAGTGGGACTTCATTGTGAAAAACAAAAGAGAAAACTACGAAAAGAAAGTTGTCTTATATTTTATGAAACAGTTTATAATTATATGGTAATTCTTATAAAAATTTTTCAGAATGAAACAAGTGTGATTTTTAAAAAAAATATATTTTATTGATATTTTACAGAGAGGAAGGGAGAGGGATAGAGAGCCAGAAACATCAATGAGAGAACAACATGGATCAGCTGCCTCCTGCACACCCCCCACTGGGGATGTGACCGCAACCAAGGTACATGCCCTTGACCGGAATCGAACCCGGGACCCTTGAGTCCGCAGGCTGACGCTCTAGCCACTGAGCCAAACCGGCTAGGGCAAGTGTGACTTTTTTGAGGGCATAATTTTTCTGACAAACTGTATGATGGCCTTTGTGCCTGATTTTCTCAGCAAGATTATATAGAGGGCTTTCTTCCAAGACGTTTTCTTAATTCTTTGCTATTTAAATCTCCCTCATTGAGTCACCTGTGACATCATCATTCTTGTCAATTTTTCATTCTTTCAGGATGACTGGTCAGGGGCTTGGCATCTGATTGGTGTGTTTCTCCAGCTCCCCTTTCATTGACTTCATGAAGGTCTATATCCTGTGTGCAGGCCAAACCCCCAAAATTAATTCAGAAATCAAACTCTATACCCTAGTGTAGGTCAACTGATTACATGGAAATGG